AGGCAGAGAGGCAGGCAGAGAGAGAGGAAGGAAGCAAGCTCCCTGCTCAGCAGGGAGCCCGATGTGGGGCTCTATCTCAGGACCCTGGGATCACGACCTGAGCTGAAGGCAGAGGTTTTAACACACCGAGCCACCCAGGTGCCCCTGCCTGTGTTTTCTTTTAGGAGTTTTATAGTTTCATGTCTCATATTTAGGTATTTAAGTACATTTTGTTGATTTTTGTGTGTTATTTAAGAATTGGTCCAGTTTCATTCTTTTGCATGTAGTTGTCCTCTTTTCCCAACACCATTTATTGAAAAGACTGTTTTTTCCCCTTGTTTATTCTTGTCTCTTCTATTGTAGATTAGTTGACCATATCAGTGAGGTTTATTGCTGAGCTCTCTATTCTTTTCCATTGATCTACATCTGTTTTTGTGACAGTATCATACTGTTTTGATTACTATAGCTTTGCAGTATATCCTGAAATACAAGATTGTGGTACCTCCAGCTGTGTTCTCCTTTCCCAAGACTGCCTTGGATATTTTAGTTTTTTTGTGGTTTCACGCAAATTTTAGGATTATCTGTTCTAGTTCTGTTAAAAATGCTCTTGATATTTCAATAGGGATTGCATCACATCTGTAGATTGTCTTGGGTAATATGGACATCATTTCCTGTAAAATAATGTCACAATTTAACAATATTAATTCTTCCAATCCATGAGCATAGTATGTATTTCCATTTGTCTGCATCATCTTCAGTTTCTTTCATCAGTGCCTTATAGTTTTCAGAGTATAGGTGTTTTACCTTCTTGGTCAAATTTATTCCTAGTTTTTGTGTGTGTGTGTGTGTGTGTGTGTGTAATTGTAAGTAGATTGTTCTCCTAATTTCTCCTTCTGTTAATTCAGAAGTATAGAAATGTCATATCATCCACAAATGGATGATAGCACTTCCTTACTTATTTGGATGCCTTTTTTTCTTGTCTAATTACTACATCTAGGACTTCCAATACTATGTTGAATAAAAGTGCAAGATTGGATATCCTTGTCTTGTTCCTGATCTTAGAGTAAAAACTCTCAGTTTTTCACCATTGAATGTGATGTTAACTGTAGGTTTTTCATATATGGTCTTTATCCTATTGAGGTATGTTCCCCCAAAACTACTTTGTTGATAGTTTTTATCATGAATGGGTGTTGTACTTTGTCAGATGCTTTTTCTGAATCTTGTGTGATGATCATGTGGTTTTTAATCGTTCCTCTTGTTAATGTGATGTATCACATCAATTAATTTGTGAATATTAACCATTTGCCTTCCTGGAATAAATCCCACTTGACTGTGGTGAATGATCCTTTTAAAGTATTGTCGAATTCAGTTTGCTAGTATTTTGTTGAGGACTTTTGCATCTCTGTTCTTCAGGGATGTTGGCTTGTATTGTAGTTTTTCATTTTTGTTTTTGTGTAGTATCTTTGTCTGGTTTTGGAATCAGAGTAATGCTGGCCTCATAGAATGAATTTGGAAGTTTTCCTTCCTCTTTCCTTTTTGGGAATAGATCCATGACATATTTAGAAGATTTTGCTTTATTTCTAAACACTGTGGATTTAAAAACATATTTTATATTTGTTAATTTCTAATTTAATTCTTATAATTTAATCCTATTACAGTCAGGGAAAATACTCTGTATGATTTCTTTTTTAAAAAGATTTTATTTATTTGTTTGAAACTGAGAGAGAGAGAGACAGAGAGAGCATGAGAAGGGAGAAAGTGAGAAGAGAAGCAAACTCCTCATGGAGCTGGGAGCCAGATGTGGGACTTGATCCTGGGACTCCAGGATCATGACCTGAGCCAAAGGCATTGGCTTAACCACCTGAGCCACCCAGGCGCCTTGTATGATTTCAGTGTATAGTATTTACTGAGTGTTTTTGAATCTATCAACAAATGATGTAACTTGGTGAATGTTCCATGTGTACTTGAAATGAATATGCATTTTGCTATTGGATGTAGTGTTTTATAAAGCTCAGGTTAAATTGGTTGATCATATCTAGATATTCATTTTCCTTATAGGTTTTTGTTTGTTTGTTTGTTTGCTTGTTCTATTAACCATTAAGAGAGAATAAAAGCCTTCAGTTATATTTCTAAATTTGTCTATTTCTCCCACTAGTTTTGTAAATTTATGTTTCATGTATTTTGAAGATCTGTTGTTATGTGTACGTTCATTCAAGGTATCTTTTTCATGAATTAACCCTTTATCCAATGTGATATGTCTTTATCTTTAAGAATATTTTTTACTTTGAAATATTTGATGATAATATCGTTGCATCACCTTTCTCATTCTTATTATTTACATATCTTTTCTCATCATTTTACTTTTAACTTCTCTGTGTCTTTATGTTTAAAGAGTGTTTCTTAAAGGCAGCATATAGCTTGGCCTCAGTATTTTACTTTAACATTAATAATATTTAGTAGTATTATTGATGGTGGGCTTAAGTCTACCAATGTATTTTTCTATTTGTTAATTGTTCATTTTTTCCCACTTTTTGATTAATTGAGAATTTTTAGTGTTTCATTTTTAATTGAAGTGTAATTGATATATAATATTAGTTTCAGATGTACAACATAATGATTCAACATTTTTGTACTTTTGAAATCAACACCACAATAATTCTAGTTACCATCTATCACTATGTAAGTTACAGATTTTTTTCTTTGATGAGAACTTTTACGATTTATTTTCTTAGCAACTTTCAAACTTGCAATACAGTATTATTGACTATTGTCACCATGTTGCGAATTATATCCCCATGACTTATTTAAAACTGGAAGTTACCTTTTGATTGCCTTCACTCATTTCACCACCCCCACTTTCTCCCCTCTGGCAACCACAAATCTAATCTCTGTATCCATAAGTTATATTTTGTTTTGCTTATTCATTTTGTTTTGTTTTCAGATTCCATGTGTAAGTGAATTCATATGGTATTTATCTTTCTCTGTCAGATTTATTTCACTTAGCATAGCATTCACTCATTTCACTTATCCTCAAGGTCCATCCATGTTGTCTCAAATGGCAAGATTTCATTCTTTTTTATGGCTGAGTAGTATTTCATTGTACCTGTATCTGTATCAATTTCACATTTTCTTTATCCATTCATCCGTTCATTCATTGATGGACACTTGGGTTGTTTCCCCATCTTGGCTATTTTAAATAATGCTTCAGTAAACAAAAAGGTACATATCTCTTTTCAATTAGTGTATTTATTTTATTTAGATATATATCCAGAGGTATAATGCAGGATCATATGATAGTTCTACTTTTGTTTCTGAGACATCTCCATGCTGTTTACAACAGAGGCTACATCACTTTCTGCCCCCACCAATAGTGCATGAAAATTCTCTTTTCTCCACATCCTTGCCAACACTTGCAATTTCTTATCCTTTTGATAATAGCTATTCTGACAGGTGTGAGTTGTGCTTTTGATTTGCATTTTCCTGATGATTAATGAGCTTGAGCATCTTTTAATTTGCTTATTGGTCATCTGTATGATTTCTCTGGAAAAATGTCTATTCAGGTCCTCTACCTATTTTTTGATTGGATTTTTTTTTTTTTTGCTTGCTTGCTTGTTTCTTTTGTTATTGAGGTGTATGATTTCTTTATATATTTTGGATATTAACTTCTCATATGTATTATTTGTAAATGTCTTTTCATTTTCAGTAGGTTGCCCTTTTATTTTGTACTTTGATGTACTTCTATTTGTTTATCTTTGTTTTTGTTGTCTTTGCCTTTGGAGTAGGATCCAAAAGAGTATCTCTGAAAGTGATGCCATGGATCTTACTGCTTTTTTCTTCTTCTGGAATTTTTATTGTTTCTAGTCTTACATTCAAGTCTTTAATCCACTTTGAGTTAATTTTTGTGTGTGGCATAAGATAGTGGTCCAATTTCATAGTTTTTGCATGCAACACATGAGGCCCTTTCAATCATGACAGCAATACCGTACTCCATGTAATTAGTGTAGAAAAATCATTGGATGTATGATTGTTAACTGACTGAGTGTGTAATAATTTACTTATTGTGTGGGAAACTTCTTATATAAATCCCCCAAATGTCTTCCTCCTGTTATCACACTCTTCTGTAATCTGCCACCCTTGAGTATAAGCTCGACTTAGCAAGTTTCTTTGAATGACTAAAATACAGTAAAATTAACAGGAACTCTCTTCTATGATTAGTTTACAATGGATTCCTCGCAGTCTCTTGTACTTTCTCTGCTTGCTTGTTATGATGAAGTAAGCCGTACTACAGAGAGGCCCATATGGCAATAAACTGAGTGTAAGTTCTTAGCAACAGCCAAAGAGAAAGTGAGGCTCCGATTGCAAGAGATTGCAAGGAATGAAACTTGCCAACAACCATATCAGTGAGCTTGGATAAGGGTCCTTCTCTGGTTGAGCTTTCAGAGAAAACCTCAGCCTCACTTGTCATCTAAAAGTAGACTTATGAGAGACTCTCATTTAGGGAACCCAGAAAAGCCATGACCAGATATCAAAACATTGTGGTTTTATAAATGTTGTTGCCTTAAGTCACTAAATTTTGGGATACTTTGTTACACAGCAATAGAAAACTAACACACCTTTCCTACCTACAATGTTTGGACATGCCTACCCACTCTTTAATGTGCTGTTTAAATCATGCTGAAGAGGGCCTGGGTGGCTCATTCAGTTAAGTGTCTGACTCTTGATTTCAGTTCAGGTCATGATCTCAGGGTGTGAAACAAAGCAATGCATGGGGCTCCACATTGGGCATAGAGCCTGCTTTAGATTCTTTCTCTTCCTCTCCATCTATCCATCCCAATCTCCTGTTCACATGCATACTCTCTCTTTCTTCTTAAAAAAACAACAACAACATATATATATATATATACACACACATATGTATATGTGTATATATATAGCACACACACACACATAGCCTTGGGCATATCTTCTTCATCTTCAGAAGTGAATTTCCAGAAGTGGAGCTGAGTTTAAAGGTATGAGCAGTACTCACTTTAGTAGTGCATCTGATAAAAACTTGGAGTGATTCAGAGAAGGTTAACATGACCTCTGCATAAGGATGACATGGAAATTCATACAGTGTTTCATAGCTTTTTTTTTTTACAAAGGCTTAAAAGCAATTCAGTGGAGGAAGAATAGTATTTTCAACAAATGTTGTAGGAATAATGGTACATCCATATAAGAAAATGACCTCAGCCTCAGCCTCACATTTCATATAAAAATTAACTCAAAGTGGATTATGGAATTCACTTAAAAACATGAAATTATAAAACCTTTGGGAGATATAGAAAGAAAACTGTTTTGGCATCTAGGTCTAATCAAAGACTTCTTAGACTTGACACTGAAAGCACAGTGTAGAAAAGAAAAAAAAATGATCAATTAAACCTCATCAAAGCTAAAAATTTATCTTTTGTGAAAGTCTAGGTGAAGAAGATGAAAACAAGCAACATACTGAGAGGAGATATTTACAAACCACATGTCCCACAAAGGAATAGTATCTAGAATATATAAAGAACACTGAAAACTCAGTAGCAAAAAAAAAAAAAAAAAAAAAATCAAATTAGAAAGTGGGCAAAAGGCACAAACAGACTTTTCAGTGAAGATGATATGCAAATGGCAAACACACACATGAAAGATGTTCAGCATTATGAGCCATCAGGGAAATGCAAATTAAAACCATAATGAGATATCGCTACATATGGATCAGAATGGAGAAAATAAAAAACAGTGACATTACCAAATGCTGGCAAGCATGCAGAGGCACTCGATTACTAATACATTGTTGGTGGGAATATAAGATGATATACCCACTTTTGAAAACAGTTTGGCAGTTTCTTATAAAACTAAACACGAAATTACCATATGAATCAAAAACTCTACTCTTGGTCATTTATCCCAGAGAAATGAAAACCGTATTCACAAAAGCACCTGTAGGTCAATACTCATAGTGGCTTTATTCACAATAACCCCAAACTAGAAAGAGCTCTGATGTCCATCAGTGAGTGAATGTTTAAACTGTGGTACATATACGCATGGAATATTACTCAGCAATGCAAATAAAAGAACAGTTCATACAGACAATGACTTAGGAGGGTCTCCAGGGAATTATTCTGAGTGAAAAAATCCAATCTGCAGATGTCATATACCATGTGATTCTTTGATATAACATTATCAGAGGTGACAACATTTTATAAATGGAGAACGTATTAGTTTTGAGGGGTTCAGGATATGGGAAGAAGGGAGTGGGAGGAAGAAGAATCAGATTGTAAAAGGGCAAAATGAGGGATTTTGGTGTTGATGGAATGGTTTTGTATCTCAGCTGTGGGGATAGATGTATAAACCTATCCATGTGATTAAATGGTATAGAACTAAATACACTCCAGATAAAACTGGGAGTATCTGAATGGCATTAGTCGATTGTATCAATGTCAATACCTTGGTTGTGATACCAGTTTGCAAGATGTTACTGCTGGTGGAAACTAGGAAAAAGATACATGGATCTCTCTCTCTATTACTCTCAATTGAATGTGAATCTACAATGACCTCAATAAAACTTCCAATTTTAAAATGGGATGAGCATTTTTTATTTTCTTAAACACATAGACAAATTTTACTCCAAGAAGAACACAAGAGTTTTTACTTCTACTCACCCTATAAATGAGTGAGTTCACCAGCACACTCACTATTACGGTTCCATTAATTCTTAGCCCAGGTTAGTATGACAGGAAATTCTATGCAACCAATATGAAGCAGGAAAAGAAAGTTGTTTTGTATTGGTGACAGCTTCACTTCTCCACAATTGTGTAAGAATTAGACAATTCTTATATAATTAATGACTTTTTAATTCCTTCCACTACATTGCACAGACATGTATCAAGTAAAACTCCATGACAGAAACACAGCAATCTCTTTTTAGAAATTAGCAGATCAGGCAGATTATAACAGTATAGGAACTCTTAAAATACTACCAACAAGGTTTATTCTGTGTCTAAATTAAAACCTGTATGTAACTATATCTGTATATTTGTATCAAGTAACCAAAATTATTCACTTTCCCGTGTCTGTGGGATATTAAGAATTTAACATACACACAACAGACATCTTTAAAAAACCTAAAGAACAGGAAACATTCAAGCCAAATTATTAGACCATAATGTAGTCAAAGCAGAAAAAAAGAAAACTTTGGGCCCCAAAAAACTCAGTCTGATTGCAATTTGAAAATAGTTTTCTGAAACCTCATCTATTAAAGAGACAACCCAAGCTGAAGGCATGCTTCCTTTGTAAACACTAAAGGTTGAAAGTAAACGATTGAGTTATTCAATTAAGGAGGCTATAAATTGAAAAAAGAAAAACAAAACACTGTGGTAGATGCAGAAATGGTCACAAATTCCTCCCCTCCTGGTGTCCACGCTCTTGGGCAGGTCCTCCCACGCTGACTGCTCTTGGCCATGGGCCCGCTTCAGCCAATGGACAGTGGGAGACATGCTCCAGGCCAGACTTGAAAAGCACATCTGGTCTCACTGTCTTGCTCGGACCACCATGTAAAGAGGCCGGGGTGAGGCTGCTACGTGTTGACAGCCATGTGGCCCAATCAGCCATGTCTCCCTGGCCAATAGTCTGCCAGCTGCTAGCCACATGACCGAGGCCACCTTAGATCTCCCAGCCACCAGCCCACTCACCAGCTGATCAGAGATGCATAGGCAAGCCTAGTGGCAATGAGCTGAGCCAGTCTGGACCAGAAGAACCACTCAACCAACCCACAGAAGCATGAGATCAATGCATGCTGGTTGTATTTAAGTCATGTGTCTTGGGGTGGTTCGCTACACAGCAAAGGCAGGGGCATGAAAAATAAGGGTAAAAAGAAAAGGCAGTTGTCACAGGAAGTCCATGAATGTCATTGCTCTTGCATTTCTGTGCTAAGGAAATGAGATGCCATGCAAATGGTCTTTAATGGTCTGTGTGGGGCTGCATAATTCTAAGGAGGTGCCCAGGGTCAGTCTGAGAGCAGGAAACAGCCCCCAGCCTGGGCTTTCTTTATGGCATCTCCTCTTCTCTCTGCCCTGTGTCTGTTTTTCACATGGGTTTATGGGCCACTTTCTCTGAGGACAGGAAGGTCAACAAGGTGATGGTCAGAGGCCTTACAGCTCTCCCTGGGCGGTCAGGGCCCTGCCCCCCATGCAGGGGTCCTAGGACTAAATGGACACAAGGCCAAGTGAGGGAAGCAATCGGTGCAGCGAGGAGTCTGACAGAACCAAGAGTCAGCTCACAGACTGACCTCAAGGCCAAGCGGTCTGTGGCAGGTCCTCCACACATGTTGATGAATGCCTACACATTGAAAACATCCCATGAACTTTGAGGTGTGGTACTAAGGTGCCTGGGATTATCCTCTGGGTGATTCAGATTTCTCTAGGCTTAGTGCAAACATGTGCAGAAGAACCCAGAATCATGTGCAGACAGGGTTGCAGAGCTGGCTGGCTACGTCTCAAGCCATCTGAACGGAAGTCAAGGATTTCTGCAGGGACCCGTCTTCCACAGGTGCTCCAGCAGCATCGTAAACAAGATGGAAGGGACAAGCTACATCTGTCTGTTTGTAATAATAAAAAAAAAAACCCTTAAGAACAGGCAAGATGGTGCAGAGGCACTACATCTGTCGCCGTGGGACCAGCGGCCACCAGAAGTTTTTATTTTGCTTTGTTTGTGCAGCTGAAAGATGGGCCTGGTGGGAGGTGACAGCACTGGCTTCCTGAGTGCCAGCAGTAGGAGACGATTAGACCCATGCCTCACTCTGTGGGATCAGGAGGCTTACCCGCCCTTCCTGAAGGGGCTGAGGACCTGCCCTTGGCCCCAGCTGATCACTGCCCCCAGGGCACGGTCAACCTTGCCTTCATGTTGTGCACATGCTTATGAAATGGGTAAGGTCCCTGGGAATCGGACGAGAGGATGAGACAAAATTCAAAATCAAATTCTCTTTTCTGAAAACAACCATTCAAAAAGATAAGTTGGAATGAACATGTCTTTCTTCTCAGATCTGGAAGTTCTGGGTAAGGTCCCTACACCAGTGCCTTCCTTGCTTGCAGCCCTTTGGGGCCCACTTGTAAATGGGCCAGCTCTACAGTGCAGGAGCTCAGCCTGCTTTGTGTTTGAAGGGGTCCCCCGCCTCGGAAGAGGTCTGGAGCTGCACTGTCCTCAGGTCGTTCATTCAATAAGTCACTGGCCAGTAAACTCAACTCCAGAGGATTTCTAGAGATTCTTTCAAATAGTCGATGTCCCTTGCAAGGTCTTCCAATTTTTCTAAGATCTGCATTTGTGTACCTCTGCGGCAGGGGGGACCAAGAGGAGGTGACCCCCATGGTGACTCACACTGTCAACATTTGGCACTTTTTAGTTTTTTGAGTCCTATATAAACTCTGAGTTACAAGACTTAGAAGTCAAGATAAGCACTAAACACCAAAGAAACGAGTGAAGGAAGAAAAATCTAGAATTCCACTGGGCTGGATGCGTAGGCATGTGCTGCCACCTAGTCAGGGACATGCGTGTCCTGCCTCACCGATCCCAGGAATTGCATGTCTTCCCTCTCTCCGCAAACCTCGGTCCTTTTACTTCCGAGCTCCGTTGTCAAAACTGAACCACAGCTTCTTCTCATAGCTTCTCTTCCAGCTTCCAACCCACTGAAGGGCTCTGGGGACCTGGCACACCTTCCATTCATCTCCCCAGCTTCCTTTTGCCTCTTTGCCCTGCATTTTCATGGTGGCATCCACTTTGAGGCCACTGACACTAGGATCTCCGAGAATGCTTGTCCAGAGCCACAGTGTTTGTGAACACTGGTATTGTCAAAGTGGTCCCTTTTGACACCTCTGCCCATAAGAGGGAAGACAGCACCTGCCTTCGCTTTGAGTCGAATGTATTTTTGTTCTATGAGCTGCAAAAGTCCAGACCCATAATGCCTATCTAAAAATCTAACCATATCAAAAGAAAACCTTTGCTCTATAAACAAGATTAGCAATCTCCCAATTTCGGTGTATAAATTGGCTCTCCATTTAGACTTCCTCCTCTGCAGTACTCCTTCATTACAAACCATCATTGCATCAGGACAAC